AGTGGGACTAGCGGAAGTGGAAGTGAACTGGAATCAGAGGTCTGAGGAGCAGGGACTGGAACAAATCCGGCAAAAAGGATAGTTTTGGAACAAAAAGTTGGGGATGGCATAGAGACCAGACCACGGTGGGCTGGGAGGAATGGGAGAGAGATGGTGTTAGGGAGGGAGGCAGACAAGGAGAGAACGGTTTGTTTACCTAGGACACGTCACCTGAAAGGTGGCTGCCTCTTTTGAAGGCGGCATTTCCCATTGTTGTCACTTTGTGTCCCCAAGTCTCCTTGCTGCCACCGTACCTTGTGAGACACGAAGGCGTTATTCCAGTTTTACAAATCTTAAGCTGAAGTGCAGAAATCCAAGCAAAATTGTGCCCCGCTGCTGAACGTCCCATGTGAGATACTTCAGACCGAACGTTTTATTATGCCTTATGTAGCATCTTCAGATGCTGGAAGCATATCTCCCACCGATCACATTTGTAGCTTTGGTTGTTCAGCACTTGGAAGGTGATATTATAAGGCATTAAATTTAGCATGCAACATATGACAAACATAAGTAGCAGCCATCTCTTAAAAGCACAATTTGCCTACTGTGCCGTAAGAACCACCAGCAGACACAGAGGTGTGAAATAAAGTTTATCGATAGAGCGATCAGGTTCTGAATAAAACCTTCCCTTCTGTAATGAATGCATAGCACAGACACGGTTCTTCCCCTTATTTCGTATCTGTCCATCTACGTAGTCTACATTTTGGTATTTCCTGGCTCTTGAGTGCTTTGTAGCTAATAACACTAACACATTTGTATGCAAAACTAATTATCGTCTCTTAAAGACAACCCCTACATTAATTTTATTAGCTTATATGAGCCTTCTTACCTTAAACTAGGTGGTGGTGGTTTTTTTTTTTTTACTCTTCAGAGCATTGTGGAAATCATCATCTCATTGCAGGCAGGAGCGCACAGAGGTAGTGCAGTCTCAATGTAAGGAGGGCAACTGTGGCAAGACCACACAAAAGATCTCTGCAGGTGAGAATGTCTGCCTGGCAGCTTCCCTGCAGAGCAGAAAGGGAAGTTGTAAGCGGGCTACGCAGAGAGAGGGGGGGAGAGAGGAAATCCAAACTGGGCCTGGTGATGGCCTATAAAAGGTTTTGAGGTTAGTGAAAAGGAAACAGCATATAGTTTTGATACCTAGGCGAATACTAGCAATGTGGTTACTGTACCCAGCTGGGGTTTTTTATTATTATTTTGTCATAAGTAGGTTTTGAACTCCTGCAAATATGTTTAATATTAAAAGTTTCTTGTTATAGTGAGCTTATCCAGAAACCAGCAGCTGCTATTTTAACTTTGAAGAGATGTTTTTTTGAGTTGCATCAGCTTCATTGCGCAAGACCTTGGTAGAACAAGACTTGTAAATAATGAATTACTCATAACTGCTGCAGTGATAGCAAACTGTGCTTTATTCTGAGCGTGACACTGCCCTGGCAGTGGAGATGTAGCTGTCACTTCTGACTGGGGAGGAAAACTGGACAGCAGCCTGCTCAGAAAGGCAGGTGTAGGCTTTGTGTGTAAGGACAGTAGGGAAGCGGTATTTTTACGTTCTGTCCCAGAAAGTCAGCTGCGCCTCAGTAAATAAGAGACCTCGGACTGGCCTATTTTAGTGCCTGTCATTCAGAAAGATGCTAAAACGTGCCCAGCTGCAAGGGTCAGAGGATTTGTTATGCGCTGGTTAGAAACTGTTGCAGTAACCTTTCCCTGGGCAGGTGTCATCTGCCTTAAGATGACTGTATGACGACTGCAGTGTTCAAACCAAGCACAAAAAGGAAATCCTCAGAAGAAGTATTGTATTTGTGAATAAGGAGCTATACGGCTAAGAGGAGCTACTTACTGGTCAAAAAAATCCAATTTAAACTGACAAAAAGGGTATGTTCACATACACTGCTTGGGAAAGAGGGAAAAGCCATCTCATCTACAGGGCAATTAGATACCTATCACTTAATCTTTCTGGATTAAAAAAAGAACAGGTAACACCAGAGCTGCCTTAACTCGAGGAGGATATATTTGGATTACTTAATGCTGCAGAAGATGGATGTTCCAGGTACAGCAGTCACCTGAAAAGGTCATGAAATGGGCAGAAATTAAAAGGCAAGCTACTGGGAGGGGGAGAAACAGAACAAAAGTGGGAAAACCCAGTCAATTTAGGCCTGTTCTTGTGAAGTAAGGAAGGGGTAGATACTCCCCATGCAATGCAAGTTAGAATCAGGCATGCTTACGTGCGTGAGCTAAGGATGGGCAGGCCAGATGCAGACCACCTCAGGGACTCTATTTTGCCCGTAGCGTGAGCCGCTCAGAAAAGTGAAAAACTTTCCTTGTCCCTGAGAGGATTCAGAGAAAGAAATCACAGCCTTTCAATTGGAATAACTGTCCAGTTTATAAAAAAAAAAAACCCACCTTCACGTGGTCATCAGGTCTTGTGGTGGGTTCAGAGCCAGCTGGCTGAATTGGCAATTGATGAGCAACTGATAGACTGAAATGACCGTGTATTTCTTTTGCTTCATTAAAGTTCACAAGAACTACGTCTGTGTGCCAGAAGCGGGCAGGTGGATAGATCACCTCAACTTCAGTGTGCGTGGGATTGCTTGGTTTTCCTCAGGGTTGTTCGCTTTTCCGTCTAGCAAATGCTTAATGGGTGGGCAGATGCCTTGTACACTGTGGGTTGGATATGAATTTTGGGTCCTCTAATGGACTGTTAAGTATTGAATGTTTGTAAGTATTGAAAGAGGTCACAGCCTCTTTTTAAGGAGGGTAGGATCCCAAAGTCATTCCTGGCCTGCGCCAGCTAGAATGAGGGATCTGGAAGCTGGAATGAGCAGTGCAGCAATCTGTAGAGTAGAGTTCTGGTTTCTGTAGAAGAAAATGCAGTAGCTCAGATGGGTAGTGTCATTTTAACTCCTGATTTAACAATAGGCATGATTTAAATGTAGGCATCTAAAGGTGGTTTTGTCTGTTACAGAAGATCATTCTGTTGTGTTCCCATTCCCCGGGGAACCGAGCGAACACTACAGAAACGAAGATGGCAAAGTGGCAGGACATGCAGTCCTGAGTGCTGTACAGAGTAGGATGATTCAGGAGCGTGTAACTCGCCTGTGATGAGTAAAGATGACTACTGCAGGCAGAAAGGGTGGGATGCCTTTCACATACCACCCCCTCCCCCCAGCCCAGGCATGGAAAAAAATAAAGTGCTGAAGTGCTGCAGGTAAAGCACGGTCCTGTTTCCCAGCTACACCATCTCCCCTTAATGGCAACAGTTCTTCCAGTGCCTTAAGTTTTATAATAAAGGCCTTTTACAAGTTCTGTTTAGGGAAGCGGCTTTTTTTCAGTCTTACCTTCACAGCACCCTGGGTGCCTCTCAAGAAGTTATTCTGTAAGGTAACCAGAGAAACAGGAATTACTAAAGTGCATCAGATCACGACCCGCAGAGCCTACAGCCGTATCAGTGGTTGTAACTGGTACCCAGTGCTAAAGCAGGAAGAAACCCTGTAGTTAGTTTGTATTACGGTACATTCCCAAAAAACATTTCTTCTCAACTCTTTAAGACAGGCATGTGACTTTGATTGTACATCGGCCATGCTTCCAGTCCTTCGGAAACAACATGAAACGCATTTATGTTGTTGAACACAATGTTCGTGGTGTTAGCCGTGTGCTGCAACAGTGTGGTTTTAATGCCTCACTTTTTTAGATGCTGCCTTGTTACTTGATGAAGAAGCTGAAAACATCTCTAGTCTGCCATCGATCGTTACTTTCTGTACTTCTATCTGGTATTTAAGGTGAACAGTTACAGTGTTTTCACATAAGCCTTTTTTTCTGGCCCCTAGTGATTCTCATATGATGTGGGGCTTGAAATCTAGTGACAGCTTTCCAGCTGCCAGTGTACAAGAGGTCTGTCATCTTCAGTATTACTATTATTTGTCTCTCGTTTTCATGCACCCTTGTTTTCTGTTGTCCTCCTCCCCTCAAAAAAACCCCAGGCATAACCGACTAAGGGTGTTCAGTGAACTGTGCATAAAAACATCTGTGTCTCTCTGCAAGGAGTAATCTGAATTAATAACTCGTAGTATCGCTTCCAGTCAAAGCCACAGTCCTGACATTGTTGGGTTTGGCTTACCACCCATTCAGGAAATACAGCTAAATTTTCTGAAACGCCATAGTCCAGTCTGGAAGAACCTGGATGTGCCACCTTCACACTTTCCTGCTTCCCTTTTTAAAAAATATGTATACACACCACAGGGGGAAATATGAATCCCTTCAAAAATCTTCATAAAATCAGTTTGTATGATTGTGAGGGTTTTGGGGTTGTTTTCTGCCATTTGGGCACTGGGGTTTTCTGAGCATTGCCTTTCTGGTTAATGTCAAAGTAGCAGAAAGTTAGGAATATTCTGATATTACCAGAAAAAAGGAAAACCAAAAAAACAAACAGCATTTTTAATAATGTGTTATTAGCACAAGGAAAGAAATTAGGTTAGGCTGACAATCTTTCTAAAATGCCTTTTTTTTTTTTTTTTTAGTGTGGCTGAGTTACCAGTTGCCCAGGAAATAAGCAAACAAACCTCTTGACTTTCACTGATGTAAACGGAAGATGTTGCAGCATCTTGGGGATTAAATTCAAAACTCTCTTTATGGTATTTAAGGAGGCATCCAGAGTATCATGGTTTGACAATGAGAGAGGCATATGCCTGCTGTGATTAATAGAAAATGTCACTGTTTCTAGTGAATTTATTTTACTCTTGTATAATGTTGATGCTTTGTCTGAGTGTTTTTAAGGCTAGCGTACGGTAAGCGTTGGCTCCTTATTTGGAAACTTGTCCTACTCTTGTGTAGCAAGAGTTGGTCTTGACGTGGCAAGCGGGGTGTTAAAATCTGCTTTTAAAATTCCGGCTTTCAGCATGGCATACTTAGGCAGTCTGTAGCAGGAGGAAGGGAGCTGATTCTGTCTTCTGAACCGGCCAAAAGCCATGCAGTCACGTGAGCAAAAAGTTGCGCCCAAGCGAGTAAGATGGCAGAGAGGTGTTTTCATGGGAATACTCGTTAATCCCTGCTCATTTTAGTCTCAAGTTCACTAATCTAGTCACGCTATGAAGGAATTTCAGATGAGATATACCTGCTTATCAGGTGCGTTAACTCCATCTCCGGGCTAGGGGTCTGCGTCATCATTGTCCCACGGTTTCCGATAAGAACGGGCGGAGCAAAGCGCTCTCGCTCAGAGCTGCAGGGAACGTACCAGGTTGGTGCACAGCTGAGCTCGTCAGGTGTTCTGGAACTGAGCTGGAACAGCAGGACAATGGAAAACCTACCGAATATCATCCTTGCGTTTTGATGCTTTAATTGCTACTGGTACAGTGCAGCAACATTGCCAGCAGTAAGAGGCAAACCCTGTGTTAGCTCACTGCATCTCAATCTTCACCACCGAGCAGGAAACCCGTGAAGCAGAATTCCTGTGGGCTAACTTTTGTATATGGTAGGAGATTTTTCTCTGACCTGCCTTTAGAATATATTGTCCTAGAATTAATACTGTATTTAAGCAGTGTTGTTAAAATTATTCCCAAATTTAAAATACAAATTATTACCTTTTTCAGGAAATCCAGTAGAGGAGACTTCGTATTTTCTGCTGATCGTCTGGTAGGTGAAGAATTTCTTCTTCTTGGTATTGTACTTTGTAACTCTTCCATAAAAATGGGTCTTTCAGGCTGGAGTAATGGTGGTGTGAGAGCAACTTCTCTACGCAAAGGAAATTGCTGTTTGACAGCAACTTTCTGTATAGGGACTTCTGTTCTCCGTTATGGACTGCTTTCATCTCAAAGGCTTCCAGAAACCGTGTTACTATCAAACACAACTCCTTCAGGACAGAGCGCCGTAGTATTAAGGGAATGCTGTTTAAAAACAGATGCACGGAGGCTAGAGATAATTCAGTTTTACTTTGAAACAGTACTTTTGATCTTGTGAACACAGAGCTGTACAATTTCTTACGGTCTAGATGTTAGCAATTGCTTGCGTGCAGAAGTGCCTCCTGGCACTTGGTGTGTATTAGATTAGTAACTCTGGGTGCATCCACGCCAGGAATTTGGTTTTAGCCATATGGTAGTTACTAGCAGGGACAAAGCAATTTGAAGTTTTCACACGTTGTAGTAAGCCAGAACAAAGACTGTTGGGAGTGCAACATTCTTCTCATTTAAATAACATGCTTAAAGAAAACCACCACGCTCACACCCACACATATACTTCCTTGTGTTCATGAGGGTGTTTGCTGTTTGCAAATCCACGTTCATTAACAAGCAAAGTCCGTCTTTCCCCTTCTAGGAAAGATGCATCCAGAGACCACTCAATTACCAGCACCTTTTGCTACAGCAGGCGGGTTTCCTGTGATGAGCCCAGTCTTAATCCATGCCTGATCCAGGCTTGCTCAGGGCTTAGATAGGACCACAGCCGAAGATTGTGACTGTAGTGCTTTTTATCTTTCCAGCTTTTCCACTTTCCCCCCCGTTTTTTCCTTCTTGAGGATGTTTCTTGCATTACTGTTCACCAAAAACCAAGTAAAGGCCCAAGCCAACAAATCCCACCACTTGTAACTCGTAGATCAAGTGACTGACCGGAGTGCTGCCTTTGCCAAGAGTAATTCATAGCAGACAGGCAGCAAGTCGCAGCCCCAACTTCGTTCTCAGCAGACACCATTTCAATAGACACACGTCCTTTACAGTTCATTGGGCAAGTAGGAGCAGCCCAGGAAACATCCCCCGCCCGTGAAAGACTCGATCAACTATGCCTCCTTCTTCCTGGGTTTTGTGGTTTTGGGTTCTTCTCGTGCTTAAATGTGTAGATAAGATTCAGAAGGCCAACACCAGCAATCCCATACATTTACAGGGTATGGGACTCCGGTGCCCCGGGGGTCAGGCCCCTTCCCCACCAGTACTCCTTTCACAGGAGGAGTTCCTGGTTAACATTCTCATTTTACCTTGTATTAAATTCCCATCATGCTGCACCCTGTAAGGAGCATTCATTCCTGCCAATTTCTTTGAATTAAAGAGAAGCACTACATTCCTAACTGTATTTAAAAAAAAAAAGAAAAAAAAAAAAAAAAGATAAACAATGGCTATTCTCATACTGACAGGAAGACCTTTAACAGTCTTGATTGTACCTTACTGTCGCTAATTAGCGTGAAGGACTTCTCCTACGTACCTTCTCACTGTACTTGGAGGTCCTGCAAAGTTCTGAGGGAAAGCACTGATTTTTTTTTTTCCTTCTCATTGCTAGAAATCGCAGGTTCCAGGCGGTGAATGAAGTTCAGGCCCTTGTACCAGCATCTTCTACAGGCTGGCCAGCACTTGTGCAGCCAGGGAGCTGCTCTTCACAGAAACGCCTCTGTCTGCTGGTCGTGCAGATGTTTGCTACAGAACCTGCTAGTCTGTTTTCCATTTTGTAGGAGGAATTTTATGCAAAACAGTATGTAGGACTATCTCATCTTCGGTGTGCTACCCCTAGCTGTGGCAAAGAACAGTTAAAATTTCACGTGGGACGTGATCTTGACTCAACTTAGTAGGGTGCAAACATAGTTAAGACTTGCTACCTTTTCCACCCAGTTAGCAAATGGAGCTTAATGGCAAGATGCAATACATGAAGAGAAGCAGCACATGCTTGGGACTGTAGGGTAGCAAAATACATCCTGTTGCAGAGAGAAAATGAGAATGAAGTTAAGCTTGCTGCTAGCTTGGCAGCTGTTAGCGGGCAGTATCTCATAAGGTCACCCTAGGAAGAGGTCCTAAGGAGGGATTCTAAAGCTGATGAATTTCTGGTGGTGCAGGTTTTTTAGTTCTGGCAGTTTGTTTCACGCGTAAGGGGATGACACAAACGTTCAAAGATTCTTGTGAGAGAAAGGAGTTAACAGGCGGTAAAGGTTAGCAGGGAGTTTCTGAGAGCCGCTGCCAGTACTGTGATCCTGAAGCTGAAAGGTGCGGGGTTGAAGTCACGAGGATGAGGACAACCCATCTTGTGTTTGTGAGGGAGGAGAGGCAGCTGTGGGAAGTAAGCCTCTAGCACAAGAGGTTATCAGTCATTATGACTTACGGTAGTAGACGTCTGTGCAGGTAGACCTCAGAGGGGTGGTGAGACCAATTTGAGAAACGCTGGCAGGCAGCTCCTCTCAGTGCAGGAGGCTCACACCGAACCCTGGTGTGGGTGCTGCCCAGCACCCACGTGCTGTGGAAGCAGTTAATTGATGTCACTTCACAGGGTTGCTGTAGAACTAGTGAGATGCTCACAAAGCCCACAGCATTTTTGCTGAGACCACCTGAGAATTTTTTTCCCCAAGGCCTGCTCAGTAGGAGGTACACAATAAGCTACCTCCAGCCCTGAGAAGTTCAGCTGGTGCTGCACACAGGGCTAAGAGACCAGTAACAGGGAGAGGAGCCATTTCCCAGAGGCACAGAGGTGATTGCATGTCTGGAGTTTTGGCAAGGACCGAGCAAAATGGACTTGCAGCCTGGATTCAGGCAGGTGTGGTGCTTTTCAGCAGAAGGTAGATTTTGTGCTTTGACTGGAGGTCTGAGGTTGAGGAATTAATTCATTTTCTCAGCCCTACCAGCAGCTCCCTGCATAACACTGCACAGGTCACCTCACCTTTCTGCTCGCCTGCCTCTCTTTCGGGGGGGTGATAATGTATACTTTAAAAGTGGGCTGAAATCCTGAGGGGCAAAGAGCTGTACAGATACAAAGTATGGCTGACAGCCCCACTGTTCTCCCTTCCCTTCAGCTTCTGAGAAAAGCTACAACATAATGGGTTAGAGGACACCCCCCGCCCGGGGGGGGTGATCTTGGAAATGAGGTGATGCACGGCTATCACGTAAAATACTGTCTTCCCACAAATAGGGGAAGATAATAATGGTCACTCCAGAATGTATTTAAATTCTGGTTTCTTGGCATCTAAATGCTTCACCTTTTTCCAAATTGCAGGCAGGCAGAAGACTGCTGAGGACCACAGATGCCTTTTGGGGTGGCTCCCACTTTTCCAGTTTTGTCTGGTCAGAGCAGCACCACCTCTTGACTGCACCCTGGCTGGTTTCCTTATTTAGTGATTACACCTCTTCTAACCCAGCGTACCGCCAGCCTGCTTTCTATAGTCGCCTATATCCAAATTTCTCTGTTCATGGACCCTAAGGAACTGGTCAAACCTGATTTCTTCAGTGATATTTGAGTGTGGATCATGTACTTAAATGGCTGAGAAAAGGTAGATGTCACTAACATTTTCATATCCTTGAAATATTGATGTGGTAGTTAGCTTAAACTCCTTGGACTTCTATTAACTGTTGGTTCAGAGCTTGTACTAATGAAGGTTCGAAGCAAACAGTATCTCCCTTGCTTACTGCAAAGGCTCTGGCGTAAATATTAAACATAGAACTGTAATAATATAAATTATGTATTTTATATATATAATCTATTTTATATTGCATACAATTTTGTGTACTAGCTGCACCTCTGGTAGTCAGCTGCTTGGCAGAGCATCCCATAGTTACCACAGCTGCCAGGTGCCAGCAGCAGAAGGTGATTTCTAGAGATTTCTAGATCTGCTGACTTGCCTTTGGGCGCCCGGTGGTGCATTTACATTGCTGCAGCTCCTGTGGCCGTTCTGGCAGCCCCGCTGCAGTTTAGTCATAGAAACATGGATGTGAAAATAGACCTCAGAGCCTCGCTGATGGGGAACTGAGAGAGGGTGGATTTTCCCTTTTTCTCACTGCTATTTCCTGTCAGCAAAATGAAGTTGCATTGGTGCTTCACTCATTTCTTGAGAAAAATTTGTCTGTGGTGCCTATGCCTGCCAGATATGAAGTTAGTTTTATGATGAACCCCTTCCTTCCCCCAATTTTGTTTTGTAAAGCCTTCATTTGATATATGGACAAAACATAGTAGAATTGAGAGACCTTCTGGGGGTGATGCCTGTTAAAGAGACCCTTCTAGACCCTTCAGGCTCTTAGGTGTTCACCTAGTACCTGTGAAAACGACCAAGGTTTAGTATTTTACCTCCATAGATGAACAAATCCCATTAGGCTGACTGATCTCTTTGGTCCTACAGATCAGACTTGTGGTTGAAGAGGGACTGAATCAACTGCCATACACAGAGTGTACCGTGACCACTCCAACAGGTAGGTGGGAAATTACTCCTCCCCTGGGTAGGCCTGGAAGTGGAACCTTAATGGATACAAAAGAATACGGAACCGTTAGAAGAATCATAGAGCATCTTGAGTTGGAGGGGACCCGTAAGGATCACTGGGTCCAACTCCCTGCTCCTCGCAGGACTACCTAAAGCTAAACCATATGACTAAGAGCGTCATCCAGATGCCCCTTGAACTCCGACAGGCTCGGTGCCGTCGCCAGTTCCCTAGGGAGCCTGAGGCTGGAACAGGTTAACGTTCGGGGGACAGAGTTAAGGTCCCTTCCCATATTTAAAAAGCTAGAAGGTGCCTAACAACACAACTGAGCAAAACATACAGTCGTGTAGTTGTCATTTTACTAAGGTTTTAAACTGGTCTTGCAAAACAGTGATGAAAATTTACCAGCATATGTGCAAGATCAGTTTACTTGCCCATGCTGCAATGTGGAATTAAAAGGGATGATGTTTCATGTGCCCGTTAAAGAGAAAGTGCTCGGCACGAGCAGGTTTGCCATGCCAGCCTACATCTGTCTCTGTCTGCAGCTGGGGCTCAGCCAGGAGCAGTGGTGAGCAGGAAATAAAAAGCGGCTGTGTTGACACCAGAGGCAGCCCATCGCAGTAATTTTGGTTTGCTCCCTTTAACTGTGAAGATACAGAAGGTCGCACGCCTTACTCCGAGGCAGCTGCTTAGTGCATCAGCAACTTCTTGGGAACCGCTCAAGTGGGCGCTGTGGACACACAGCCCGCCTGTGGGACACACACGGGCGAGCCCTCTTCCCCCTGAGAATTTCATGTGCATTTCTGCAGGGTGGGGGCAGCTCCGTACGTTCACACCCTCCTCCCCTCTGCCATTGGCAGTAAGTCATTTGTACGTCTACTTTTAGTTAGAGAAAAACACTCAGTCCTGAAAGTAGATGGAGTTGTGGGAGGCCCTCGGGAGGCACAACCACTTACCTTTGCTCCTTCTTAAATACAACAGCAGCTACTTTACTTCTTGAGCATTGGCAGCGCATCTGTTCCAGGTCAGTCGGTGACAGACAGACTGATGACCGTCTTCTCTCTGCATTACACAGCGGGCGTAAGGAACATCACCACATGTTCTTCCCAGCAGCGGTGCTGGGCGAGCTCGTTACCAGCTTCTGGGGTTAGAACCGAAGAACTATGACCAGCACAATTTTGCTCGCGGTTGTCCCCTGGGCACTGGGGGATCTTGGTTCCATTCCCACCAAGGTCACTTAAAAAGGGGCATTAAGATGGGGCAGAAAGGAGCAATCAGTGCCACTGACGCCTGGTTTTCTTTCCTCTCGCAGGACACAAGTACGAAGGAGTCAGATTTGAAAAGGGAAACTGCGGAGTCAGCATAATGCGAAGTGGTAGGCAGCTTCAGGTTGTTGAATGAGCACGAATTAAACCTTTTGGAAATCCGTCAGCAACTTCCTTTCAGAAATGTGCAACACCACCTCCCTACCGCCAAGTTTCACCCCGACCTGCCAGTTGCTGGGGTACCCTTGGGTATCCTTGATCACAGGATGTCCAGTCAGGTCTTTCATTCACTTTTCAGGACACAAGTAGCTGCAACAGATTTCCTCTGGCCTCTCCTCTAGCAAGCAGCAACTGCGGGAGGCCGGGCCAACTCTCCGGCCTTGTTTGCTGCTGCTCAGAGACAGGTCTCCAACCCAACCCTGCGCCGTGGTGGCAGAGTCACCGTCACTTTGCCCAACGCTGCGGAAACCTTTGTACCTGTGATGTCAAATCCAGTGGCTCCGCAGCCTCCTGCCCTGCATTTTGCACCGTGGTGTCCCCGGGCAGAGCTCAGAGATGTTCTCCGAACCCCAACCCTTTGCTTTGACGTTTCCAGCTCTCGCCTTTGAGAGCTTGGCACCGGTGTCTGGGAACGCTAATACCCAGCAGCTAAGTCACACCAAGTAGACTGGGCTTTCTGTCTAAACAGAGAAAAAAGGAAAATAGCTTCAAGTGTTTTCACACTTAGAACTGAGAGGGGAAAAAAAAAAAAATCTCCTTTTTAGAACGCTTCACCAGTACAGTATTGGGACTGTCTATTTAACTGCAGCATCTTGCAGTTGTGCCGTTTCTTAGCACGTAACAATTCGTTGTTGCTTTTCTTTTTCTGCTCATTTTGAGGA